ACAGCTTGAGTTGTAGCCTCTGGTTTAACTTACCCAGTCCATTCCATCAAGCCAATTTAGCCTAACTTATTTTTATCTTTCTCCTTTCAAATTTACAGCAACAGCCAAAGTAGTCACGAGGGAGCGCACCATGAACAATGGTCCCTAACTTCTCACCAGTTCCAGAGGAAGCAGTGACATTTTGATAGTCCCCAGTAAAGTCTAAGAACAAAGAGTCCCACGGTTGCTCCGTTATCCAAACAGCCCATCCTGCAAGTCTGAATTGTCAAAGCAACAAAATTAATAGGCAATGTGCCATCTCTGTTACCTGCATTAGCTAGCCAAATTGAATACTGGCTCAGAACAAAGTTACATTAAAAAAAAAAGATCACTTAGAAGGAAAGTAGCTAATACCAGAGAATGAAAGATCATTAAAGAGAACAGAAGATGTGAAGACACCCATGGATCCAGGGGGGAAAAAAAAAAACCAAAACACAAAAACATCCTACAAGAAAACAGAGCATTTTAGCAAGCAAAGAAATAAAGACTCCTTACAGAAAAGTCATTTCAAGTCTGGAAAGATACACGGGAGAGTGGTATTTTCTTTGTAATTGCTTTAGTAATTTGTGAGACTTTGGCCTGTTCTGATCTATTTTTGAAACAAAATCCACATTCTCTTCACAAAATGAGTAAGACTAAGAATTACTGTCCTTCTGGAGCTGCTAAATAAGAGCCAGTTGTTTTCCAGCTTCCAAAATTTTTTAATTTTAATGTCTACCCACACAATAATTAGTAACAATGCAGATGACCAATAACAATGTCAGTATTATAATAAACAAGTATTTATCAAGATCTTTTGCATTTGATTAATTTGTTTTGTTGTTTACAACAGGGTACTTTGTCAATTTGTTACATGTAAACACCTGAGCTCCTCAGACATGTCTAAAAACAATTGCCCAAATGCCACGCAAAAACAGATTTCTTAATTGCTCTAGAAGAGCTCAAGAAATACCTACCTAACCAAGCTAGAAAATACATCATACACTACTGGGAAGATTTCTCATTTATAGAAGGAGGAGGCTGAGACTTGCTTCACAGGATGCATATACTCCTACCCTTTCTTCCCTACCTCCTGTCTGAAACAGGACAGCACTTTGCTGTTTCTTATCTCCTCAAACCACTCAGAAAACTTCACTGTGGCACAAAACCCAGGCTTGATTTTTGTAAAGTGAACTGAAATAGGAATTTTAAGTTGTGAAACATCAGAGATGATTGCTTCGCTGGACTCATGAACATGAGCAGATTTTTCAAGGTCTCATTAGCACAACATTCACTTGTAAAGGCAGGGGAAAATTTTCTACTGAGCCTCACAGAGAACAGCTTACACTCAGAAACATGAGATTTAATTATGATTAGGCCTGCATAACTGCCAGAATTATTAATGGTCATAAAATAATGTTTATGCAGCATGCCACCATTTCAGAACACCATATAAGCTAATCAAATTCACTTTCTACTATTTCTTTCAAGTTTGGTGGCCATTAATTTCAAGGTCTCTCCTTTGGCTCTTGCATCTTGGCACAGAATTAAAAAAAATAAAGGGCACAAAACACTTCAGTCTTGCTGTACTGTGAGTACCAGATTCATCAGATACAAACACTCGATAAAGAAGTCTTAACACTTTAATTTGTTTGTACAGTTCCTAACATCAAATAGTACCCAAAGGATTTCCATTCTAAACTGATAACAAAGTGGGGGGAGGGAGGAACAAACTGAAAGAATGTGACTTACTTTTCTTGTAAGTCAACACTAAGTTTTATTTTGCTCACTTTTGAAGGACATTTTTATTACATAGCCACTGTAGTAAAACATGGAAGAGTTACTCATTCAAGTACAACTGCTACAAAAGGTGAAGAGTGCTAAGTCAGTATGAATAATGTTTACTCTCAAAACAAAGCACAGAGAAAGTTAAATGCTACTGAACACTGAGAGTGTTCCACAGAAGCTGGTTTATTAATAAGTAGGTAATTAAAACCACCCCACTCAGCATGCATTTCAATTCATTCACTTCGTAATACCTTCACTGAACCTCACTCCTTTTGCCCAGAAGAGCTCTTAAATTTGAGTTGGAGACCAACACTGCCTGCCACAATTTAACAAAAATAATTAGCTCGCAGGTCCCTGAAGACCTTCAGCGCATAATAAAGTGACAAGATTCTTGCTACTCTAGTAGCAGTCTCCTTTCAAAACAGTAGGGAACTTAAGAAGTTGTAACGGAAAAACCTTCAACTTGCTCACCATTTGAACTGAAGCAATTGCTAGAAATTATTTCAGGATGAAGTTTTTAAGACCTTTTACAACCAGGCTACAAGCACTACTGCTCCATCAGCTGATGAACCAGAATTTTATTATGAACAACAGGTTTAAAACCAACCATACCTCAACATTCAAAGCTTATCCTGACAGGGTCTGATAAACACAGAACCATCCTGAAAAATAATGACATTTGGAATGCTCAAATTTTGTTAAGATTAACAGCCTGCTTTTAAATAGTAGTTAACTAAATCATTTTAAAAACACCTACTAAATTGGCATAGTAGAGGGATGAGATAAAACAGACTTTCCTTGTTAAAGCAAAAACCAAACCAGAAGAAATCAGGAACCACCTGCAAGATTTAGATTATCCCAGACTAGCGTATTTCAGTTACTTCAGCTACTCCACACTCTTTGTTTTTTCAGTTATCTTGTAGCTGAAGCACAGTCCTACTACTACTGAAGTCTCAGATTAACATAAAATGCACACCCAAACTCCAGATATTTGTGTGATTGAGAAATAATGCTTTACGTGAAGGATTTAAAAAAAGTGGTTTTACAAGACTTTTTGCAAGAAACCAGTAGTAAGAGGGATACAGCAAGGCAACCATGTCACAGCTACTTTAGTGACTTCAAGGTTAGAATTAACAAACCTTCAATAAACCCTCCAGCTTTTGTAATGCTGAACTCAAGACTCACCACACTATTACCCATCTGACACAAATACTCTTTTCTGTGTTCATCTCAAACTACATAGCAACCTCTGCCATAATCTATGTGAAGCAAATGAAAGTTCCTTCAGCCACATTTGCACTACTGTTCAGTTTAACTGCGTATCCTCCATTTCTTATGTTGCAAAAGAGGAAAAATTGAATTCTTTTGTCTGACAAAACAACCCTCTTCCCTTGCCTCCTCTCTCCTCCTCCCAACCACCTCTCAAATGAAGATTTTTCTCCATGTTCCTAATACTTTAACAGTGTAGCTAACATTGTACAAAATAGGTAAAGGCACACAATCAAGTGGTAAAGAGATTTTCTGTATTATTCTACATGTGGTCCTCATGCTTCCCGAGATCTTTTCTTCCCCTCCCTTTTCTTCCTTTTTTTTTTTTGGGGAGATGCTGCTATTTAGACAATACGACGTTTTTCGTCTGCATAATGCAAGTGTCTCGCTCACACCAAGTTCAAGCCTGAACCAGAGCAAAGAGCTACCTCCTCACCTCCTCAAATGTAACAGTAATACCTACTCGCAGCCATTTTGCCAGTCTTACTGCAAACTACTGGAAGTCTGCCTGCATAAGATTTCTGCAGTATGTTTCTAATGTATATAATAAGCCATCTCTACCTGCCAAAAGTTGTCCTAGACCACATGTAGCTGCCCTCCTTCTGACTGTATTAGAAAGAAATCTTAAAGGGGAGACTGGGCGATACCCATCACACCTGCATGAAACACACTCCTCTGCAAATTCTAACACAGAGCAGTGCACAACCAGTACTGCTTCTGGCAACATAAATTTGCAACAAGTTATTTAGAAATCTTGATATTTCTATCACAAAACTCCCGTGTTGCTACCATGCAGCAACAGGAAAGCTATTTCCTCAAGCACCAGAAAGTCTTTTTATATCAGAAAAATCTATTTACAATAATCTGATAAGACTTTAGCACCTTCTTCCCCATTACACATTTCCACAAATAAAAAAAAAACTCTTTAGAAAGCAGTTAGCCCTTTGAAATGTAATACCATTTCAACTTTTACCGTACTGGTAACCAAGAAAATGAAACTGATGTAAAAGATAACTACCAAGAGACACACTTCTTGAGAAAAACAAACGGTCAAACTAAGTGATGGGAACTGTGCCTAATTCAGCATGCACTGTGGAATATCTCTGTACAGAAAGGAAAGTAACACAACATAAGTAAATACTTGTGGTTTTCTTTCTCAGTTATCATGAGTCCAGATACTTCAGACTGCATTACTGTAACATAGCCTACACAGAATCTTGAAGGTCACACTGAAATTTCAGCTGGTGCAGGATGTTTATATAACAATCTTTCACAGCAGAAGTATATATCTTTATTCCTGTATGATAATGTTTTCATACTCATTACCAAATGCAGTCCAAGGCATTAACTTCAAACTACAAATTTCCCCATGGCTTATCTCTCTGAGTCAAAGTTCATGACTTTTTTTTTTTTGGCCTAACAGCCAATATTACTTGGGATGCTCCAACAACCACCCACCTGATTTACTGGGTGCGGGAAGAACCACCACAAAACCACACAGAGTGTCATCTACAAAATGATTCAGTGACTCCATTGGGGAAAAGTATTTTTTTTAAAATGAGCAGGCTTTGCAAAAAATTAAAGTGTCTTATAAAGAGTTATCTGCTTAAAAGGTACCTTATAGTGGCTGCTGCATAGCTATTTTGAGATGCTCAGGATGTTTGGGAGCCTAAATACAGGCAAGTTCTTTCCTTCTAGTTCAGCTTTACACCTCATACTGTTTGAAAGCTACGATTCCACAAGTTCTTTCTAATGGATAAAACACTTTTTCCAGGTACCCAGCAAGTAAACCAAATGATTTCTTGTGTGGAAAAAAAAAAGGTAATTATCCTTCATATTATTATGTATCACAGAATGTGAAAGGTCAATTCCCTAATTATCATGAAACACCCTTTTGCAGTACTGATTAGTTAAGAGATACAAACCCTAAATAAAATGGGATGTCAGTCTTTGCCATCATTACCAAAGGTGACAACCATCAGCATCACCCAAGACCCCTGAACCACCTACGAAGAAATTAAGTCAATATTTTAATGTACACACCCACTGAATCTCATCTTCTGTAATGCTTAATTCAACAAGATTGATAATGTTTTCCACTGTGATTGCCAGTGATTCACTGGCAACATGGCAGAAGTTTCCAAAAGCAATCCTGTTAAATTACTGCTCATCTGCTTTAGCATGACCACTTTTATATAATAATATATATGTCCCAAGATGCCTGTAAATTAAACCCTGACATATCAACGTATGCAATTTCTGGATTCATATGTTCATCTGTTCATTGGAACATTAGTTTTTAAAATAATTATCAGCATACAACAATAACAAATTTCTAAAATATTTTGCTTGAAACTAAGCTAGTTCGGATACAAAGCTGACCAAAAAAAAAACCCCACCAGAAAACACACAAATAACTTCCCACACATCTCCATTAAGGTTACTGCTGCTCAAAAGTGACTGACAAGCGCACCACTCAAGTCTCTGGTTGTCAAAACAGACTGCACTGATGGTACCTGCGTTTCTAAATTTCCCTCAAAGCAGCCTATCAAAGCTGTCTGCTTTGACAGAACCTGTTCTAGGACAGGAAGGTAAAGCAATAAGCTATTGCAGGGAAAAGAAAAGGTGCCTAACTGATAACGTCTGCTTGTATTTATGTTAGTGGAAACCGTAATTTCATATCAACATTGTGCATTAATGGACTGAAGAAAGCCATGGTGCTACTGGTGAAGCTGAGAAACTGTCAAAAAGGTACACGCTCCTAGGAACACCTAGGTTATTTATACAACTACGAAGTCTCTTATTAGCTTCACTGACTTCAAACACAGAAATACAGACATTTATAGTTGATAAAATTAATGCCCTCCACATCCTTATAAGCCTGAAGGGGGTAAAAAAAGGTAAGTTTAGAAACATTAATTTCTGCTTCATAGTACTGCTGTATTATCTAACAACTCTATAGCTATATGACATGAGTAGAGTATAAGTGCTGAATTTAACAACTGCATTGCCCTTCCAAGCAGAGCCATTAGAAGACAGCATTGCTAAACCAGTTACAATGATTAAAGCAGCTCCGCAACAGTCCAGATTACTTTGAACCTTTTAATCATTTTTGCAATTTTTTTTTTTTTCCCCACTTCAGCCATTTTCAATATAGTAAAGACACACAGAAATCAGTAGATTCCACCGGAAGGACAGAAGACTTTTCACTCATACTTGACTGGGGGTGGGGGGGAAGAAAAAAGCTACTCTGAGGAAAAAGGTAAACATACATAAGGAGAAAATTAAACGTTCCTAGGAAAAAAACCACATCAGTTCCCTGTTTTAAAACGGCACAGGCCTCACAACGGCTTTTCAGGACAAAAACTGACACCAGGACATTCCCAACCACCAAAGCACAGTACGATACAGCTACACCACCACCGCACTCCCAACAAGAAACCTTACCCATCCTCGCCCTCGTAATCCAACAGCTAAAAACAACGCCAGGGTGAAAAACTAGTGAAAGTAAGTGGAGTTTCTGTTTGGTTTTATCACGGTTTCTCCCCACGCAGAGGGAGGCCAGGGGCCACCTCGCTCTACCCTCAGGCGCCACAGACAAAAGAGCGACAACCGGGAGGGGGGTGTCTCCTCCACCGACCGCGGGAAGAGGGGGGCTCTGGAATTATTTCTTCCCCACCGCGTTGTTCGTTCAAGTGTGCCGAGTGCGACACGGGGATGAGTTTTCTCTTCTTTCCAGGCACGCAGAGCCCATGGGAAAACAACAGC